TTTTAAGTCTTAGAAATCTTGTAAGATGATTTGCAACTTCAGAATATTTTATATATGGAATGAAATACTAGTGGAAATCATTATTTATTAATGCTATCTATTCATTCATAGGAGATTCCTAAACAAAGAACTCAAAATTTAGTTTGCAATTTATAAACTTTGCACAAATTGTGTTATAACTTACTGTCCACAGAAAAGTTATCTCTAAAAAAAAAAATCTGGTATTTACTTATTTTATGCAATACATTGTAAAATTTCCTGATCTGAGGTTTTAACGAATTGGAACTTAATGTGAATAATAATCAGGGAAAATGAATAACAAATTAACCATATCAGAGAAAGCAAATGACAGAGTTAACATACATAATTAAATAATCTTTGATTATTTTTCATATTGTCCAAATGATGTAGAAACCTAAATCAAACAATATGTAATTTAACTATGATTGCTGTCAAATTCAGTAATTAAAATTGCAAGCCAATCTAGAAAAGACATTTTTTGTGTTAACTTTAAAGATATTTAGAGCTAATTAATTTTAAACAAATTATTATTTAAATAAATTCTTGCAATCGTTTTCTGGCTTCTGTGACTGTTGACAATTATTTCTGAATTACATCAATGTGTTCATTATCAGCAAATAAATCTAATTTTAAGAACCATTGTTAAGTGTGAGCAGCTAGCTGTTAAATGGAGGACTCCCATGTCTGCTTCTGATTTAATGTATAATTAGTGAATTGTAATAAGTCAGTATTTCGTATAAACACAGAGTAGCAATTTGATTTTTTAAGTCTATAAGTTTATAAAATTATGAATAAATTTACAGATAGAAGATTTGTTCAGAAATTAAATTTTATTTTGGAAATCATGCTCCTAAAAACAAAATATGTTCCATGAATTATCTTAAACATGAAAAAACATAATTATTCATTTTTATTATTTAAGAAAAATTATAACGTATGGAAAAAATTTAGCTTATGGAAATTTAACATTTTTTATTTACTTAACATGTCACTTTATCCTGCAGTACAGAACTTTAAAAAATTTTTGATCTCCTGAGAAATTAACAACATGGTTTAATTTAAAATTTAAAATATTTTAGAGATATTTCCAAATACAACAGAATTTTTCTGGGTTTTGATTATTTCACAGAGTACTGAAATTAATTTAAATTTTTTTAGGTTGACTGCTATTTGAAAAGGTTTTAAGATACAAATTTTGTAAGGTTTCTACAGATATGGATTTCAGAGACTACTGAAATCTTCATCAGTAGAGCTATTTTAAGGTTTGTTTTAAATCATTATAGACTTGTTTTTTCTGCAAAATTTCATGCCACCTGCAATATTTTATTCAAATTTTCTCAGCAGGTAAAGCACACACTTTCACAAGGTTTGAAATTTCAAAATTCCAATGGTGCATTTAAAATGAGCACCCATCAAATCACATTTTCTCCTCATTGTTTCTATGAGTGTGTCACGCAATCCTGTTTTTCTTACACCAAATTTTTGTGTTTTTAGTTCCCCAGAAATACCTTAGTGAGTCCTCAGCAGTTGCTAACCAGTTAATAATTGTGTAGCGGCCAACCCCTTCAAGTAGATCGTTAACCACAAGAGTGCCTGACAATTTCCAAATCATATCCTCTGTCCAGAAGAAAAAGATAGGGCTTTGTGAGGCCGAAAGGAAGTGAAGGAAAACAAAACAAAAGTAGCTCATGCTGAAAGTGAAAAGTGCTTGGACAGATTAGTATTTTCTTTTCTACAAGGCGTCCTGCCAAGCTTTCTTTTTTTTTAATCGAGAATTATTTTTTTGGTCTAATTTTTTTCAGTTTCTTGGAAAGAGTTGGTATTTCACCAGTCCCGCTGGCCGCTCGGAATGACTGCTGCTGGTTTTGTGTTTTGTCCCAGCTCAGCCCATCACAGCTCGCCGACACCCCACCTCACTCTGTCAAAACTCCAAGGAGACCCTAGGTTTGGAAACGCCTCCGATTCCCGACCAGTGTCTTCCCTTTCTCCACCAAGCTCCTTCTTGGAGTTTCAAGATCCCCCCGCCTCCCGCATCCAGTTGCAGTAAAAGCCGGAAATTTTCATTTAACTGCGCCCCCCCACCCCCACCACCATCTCGCCCCCAACTCTCTCGCGCAGGGCTGGGTAGCTGAGCAGCTCGGAGCCCAGCCAGGTCTCGGCCGCCTCCCCTCGGTCCGGAAGGCTTTAATTTGCACACTTGATAGCCGCGGCGCGGCGAGCCCCCGGCCCCATCGCCGGGTGGGTCTAGAGCCGAGTTGGCCTCCCGGGGTCCCCCGCCCACACCCTGCAGCCTCCCAGCCTCGGGCCCCCTGCTCGGCCGGAGCCCCGCGGGCCCCGACCGCCCCCAGCGAGCGGCGCGGGCGGCGCCCTCCGCCGTCCCTCCGCCCTCCGCGCGCCGCCGCTGTGCCCACCCCCTCGCTGCCGAGCGCTTCCAACTCCTTCCTCCGAGCCGCTTACCTGCTCCGCGCCGCGGCGGACACGTGCGGGGCTCGCACCCACGCCCGCGATCCCCCCCCCAGGAGGCCCCTTTCGGCCGCGCACTCCAGGTGAGGAGCTGTGCGCTCGGGTGGGTGGGCTGCGGGGTGGGGGGTCCCCATGGGAAAAATCGAGGGGGGTGGACGGGGGTCGTGGGTGTGGGTGTTGGGCAGGGGGCTGCTTGTCCTAGAAATCCGCTATGGTTTAACCCTTTAAGGACCGAGCCGGGGTAATTTTGGGGGGATACTTTGGGGGAACTACCTAATTGGAAAAGGGGGGCATCACACACAACTGCTCACGCTCACCCCCTTCCCACCTCCCACCCCAAGATCCAGTGACTGTTCCTACACTGCCCTGCTCAGAACGCACTTTTTTTTTTAAATCCACGCGGAACCATGTGTTTCTGGGTTCCGTGCAAGTTTGCCCACGAGAGCTCCCGCTCCAGCTTGCCGAGATGTGGGTATGGGTGTGGGCTCCACCTTCCCACCGGGAGATAAAAGTTAACGCTGGCTCCCCTCTGGCAACCCTGCGGGCATGTTATGCACGCTTGAGAGGAGTGCACGCACGCGGTCAGTGCTCTGGTTGAAGCCCCGCACACACACACACACAGGCACACACAAAAGCTCGCACGTTTACTTCTGTCTCCAATGTGCTTTGATCACTTAAACGGCCCGAGTGCAATATCACGCCCCGCGATGAGCGATCTCCGTGGCCGCGGCGCACCCGTCACTGTGCACGTGGGCGCATCTGCGTGTGCGCACATGCGGGAGCCCTGGTCCCCCGGGCGGCCTTCGCGGGTGCTGCGCTGGTGGCGACCCTTGCGGTGCTTGGCAGGCTTCGGAAGAGGCACATGAAGGATTTCATTGAGTGTGAAGACAGAGAGCAGAGACAGAAAGCAGAAGGAGGCGGCTGCAGCCTTTGTAGTCGCGGAGGAATGCGGAAATGTTGAAGCACTATGTCAAACTTTTTTGAAACGGGGTCAAGTCACATTCAGCCAGCGTGGGAAAGCAACAACAACAACAAAAAAAAGTGGAGGAGAGGGGTGGGGGCGAGGCACTGGAGCTCCCATTTCTCCCCGCCGGAGCCCACCGTCAGGGAAGCGACGGGGGGAGTAGGCGGGCGGGCGGTGCGGGGCCGGGCGGGGGCCGCGGGCGCAGTTCCCTGCGGGGGTGGGACGTCCCCGACGCTTCCTTCGCTGCGGAGCCGCGGGCTGGGCTGGACTGGGGCGGGGCTGGGGGGACGCCGGAGGGGCGGGCTGCGCAGCCGGAGGCGGCTTCTCGGCTACCTGTGTGGCCCTCGGCCTGGCGCAGACCCCCCGGCAGGCTCTGGGGGCTCGCTCTTCGTCTTCCCCCGGCTTCGCCGTCACCTTTTAAGGAGAGTTCTGAATGGAGTGAGTGTGAGGGGCTGGACGCGCGCCGTGGGGGTCCCGCCGTTTGTTATTTCTCTCATTCCTGGCGGAAGGGGAGCTGGCCAGCGGTGGCGAGGCAGGTAATTCCGAGGTGTCCCGAGAATTCCGAACACGCGGCCGGGTGGTGCATATCCGACCGAGGCCCAGGCGGCGGTGGGAAGGAGGCCCCCGGGTCCCAGATTGCAGCGGAATTGGGGAGGTTCTTTGCACCCTCCGCTCGCGTGCTTTGTTGTGCGGAGGCACCCAGGGGGTGAGGGGCTGGGGGCTGGGATGGATGGATGCAGACAGACCCCGACTTAAGCTGAAAGGACCATGGAGCCGCCGTCTCTGCTACCTACACTGGGACGGTCCTAGGAACGGGAAAGGTTCACCAGTCCTGACCTGAGCGCGCAGTTTCTTGTTCCTCCCTGCCGGGGGCCCAAGCATTTTAACTCCCCACAGCCCCTTTAAGGATATGTGTGTGTGTTGGGGGGGGAGGGGGAAGGTTAAGTTTTCCTGAAGTGGAAATCAATAGAAAATTTCCGGGCCGGTCACGCTTTTGCTACCTTCCACCCGAAGTTTTATCTTTTGGGAAGTGACAAAGTGTGGTGAGCACCCCTTTCTTTCACCTCTAGGGCCCCCAGTCGGCAACTCCCCCTTCCGTGGCCCCTTCGCTCACCCGCCCCCGGGTTAGTGGGATCGTCAGCTCAGCCCTCCCCGTTTTGATGGCTTTGCACCGGGGAGGTCCTCCTAGTCGGAGGAAGAATTTCCTTCCCAATGCAGTTTCCTTTAGCCCCCCAAAAGACCATGTGTATGTGCAGGTCGGGTTTTTTTTTTTTCAATGTCTCGTCGTAGAAAAACTGAAAGTAGAAAGAAAGGAAGCAATTTCGGAGCAGATGTCTGATCACTCCTTCTCGCACACTCCCAGCATCGGGTTACAGGGTCCCGGGAGCCCCCACCCACGTTCTGCGGCCCCACACGGCTGGACCTCGGAGCCCTTCCGCACCAGCCCGATTCCGCGAACGCCCCCCGGCACTTCCGCAGCCCCTTTCCACGCACGTCCAGACCAGGGGAGGCGGGGAGGGTAGCAGCTCGACACAATGATATAGGGATAAATATTAAGCCGTGACATTGACGCGCCCGGCGCCTCCCCTCCCCCGCGCTCCCGGCACACTCTGGGCTGCTCGGCACGCCCCCTCCCGTTCCACTGGGTCCCGCGCGGCGCGCTCATCCCCGAGGGGCCCCTGCAACCTCCCCGCGCGAAGACGGCCCCAGCCTGCAGGGAAAGCAAAGTAACTGCGCTTTTGCCGGAGGAACCAGGAAGGATTAAGCGGCCTGGGAGAGGGCTGGAGAGCGAGGAGGGTAGCGATGGGGGCTTCAGGCAGGAGGAGGAGGGGAGTCTGCAGAATCCCCGAGGAAGGCGCCTGGGATGTCTGATTGCACTTTCTTCTTGTCCTCCCGTCTCCTCCTTTAGGTGCATCGGTTGTGGACTGAGACGTTCTCCGGCAGAGACCATGTAATCGCTTGGGTGTCTGCAGAGGTCTGAGCTCGGGCGAGGAAGAGGAGGGATCGGCTCGCTCTTGGGCGACTCGGCAGGCGGAGTTTCGCGGCGGCGGCGGCGGCACCAGGGTTGTGCCCGCCCGCCTGCGGGGAGGTCGTTCCATCCAGCCGCGAGAGGAGAGCCGGAGCACCCGAGGGCGGGAGTCGGCGGAGGTGAGGGAGAGCTAGACCGAGCTCCTCCAGCGCCAGGGCACGAGGGAGCCCGGGAGGAGGCGAGCGGCTGTCGCGGACGATCCGAGTGCGCTCCCCGCCCGCCCCGGCGGCATGGAGAAGGACGGCCTGAGCCGAGCCGACCAGCAGTATGAGTGCGTGGCCGAGATCGGGGAGGGCGCCTATGGGAAGGTGTTCAAGGCCCGGGACCTGAAGAACGGCGGCCGTTTCGTGGCGCTGAAGCGCGTGCGGGTGCAGACGAGCGAAGAGGGGATGCCGCTCTCCACCATCCGCGAGGTGGCGGTGCTGAGGCACCTGGAAACCTTCGAGCACCCCAACGTGGTCAGGTGAGCTGGGAGCGCTGCGCTTGCCTCGCGGCCCCGCCGGCCGTCCAGGGGGGTCGTGGAGGGGGAGAGGGTCTGGCGCTGGGGGTGTGGGCGGCCAGGACGTCCTCGGACCCTGGCAAAGTATCCGGCTGGGAGGAGGGGACGGAGGTAGCGTGGTGTGACCCGTTGACCTTTCAGAATGAGAGCCAGCAGACTGAGCAGATGACCCCGCTAAGGAAAGGAACAGATCAGAAAATGGGACCCGCATAGGTGTCCGGGCAGCTGCGCAGGGTCTCAGTTGTTTTCTCTCTGCTCGCCCAGGAAGGGGGTCCAAGAAGATGGGGTGCCTGTTAGGGACAGCGGAGCCGGTGGAGACAGGCTTCCCTAGCCCCCATCCCGCGCATACCTACCCTGGCCATTTGGGGAATTTTTGAGAGACAGCGACTGAGTGAGAGGTAGGGGGGCAGGATGCCATGATAAATAGTAGGAAAAGAACTTTACCCGGAGCTTAGTAAAAAAAATAAATGAGGTTTTTGAAATGCAGAAACTTTTAAAGATTCCCCCCCCCCCCATCACACCAAGAGTTTCTCTTTGTAAAGTTGAATAAGGAGGATTTTCCCGATGGTCAGAGAACTACAGTGTTGCTGCCCAGCTTTCAGCAGTGTGGATTCTCCAGCTGTGAAATGTGCATCAAATGGTGGAGCACGCGCTTCTGTGTGCTAGACCCCTGATTGAATCCCCAGCACTGATGACCCTTAAACACACACACACACACACACACACACACACACACACACACACACCCCAGTCGCGCGCACATCAAAAAATACAAATAAAAACTATTTTTCTCAGATAGTACTTGTCTAATTACTCCATGTCTCTGGGCCAGTCTCCAAAGTGTTAGATGTGATACCAACATGTGGAATCTTTAGATTTTTAAATGTTTCCCCTTTTCCTGGCGGTGGATACCACAAGCTCCTCTATGGTGGCCTGTATTAAAGTGTGTGAGAGACTTAGAATCGTGGTGTTTTCTTAGTGGTTCTGGAATTCCCCCATTGTCTGATTGACTTTGTGTGGTGTGTCATTTTCTTTTTTTAAACAGATTCATAGTTTCAAATGGAAAAGGAGTCACATGGAAACTTCGACATATTTGGATTTAAGTGTACCTTTCTCTATGCTTCAGATAATGTGTTGGAAAAAGGGAGGTTGTGGGGTCTTCCTGTCTTCTCAACTTCTTAAAGAATCTGTTCACCAAATATGTGCCTACTGTGTGCACTGTGGATGAAATTATGTAAATAGGCTCAGCTAAATATTTTTGTAAAAAGTCAAACAATTTAATGTTAGTCATCAAAGTAAAGAGACCCAAGACTGACCTTTGAAATACCAGGCCCTTTACAGACTGGGGGAGCCCAAGTGTCTACAGAATCTTCCTGGGAGGTTTTAACTTGTCTCTTATCCCATGCTGGTGATTTGTGTGCAGCTTTGCTGCTGACACAGACTGGGACTAGAAGGCAGCAAGGAATCATAAATACATAAATAAGGTAGTAAATGGCAATAGAGATGTACCCTTTGACCTCTGCCTTAGCCAGTAAAGGGGAGAGGAACATAATAAGATGAGACAAAAAAAAGTGTTTTAGGAAGATGGAATTATATGTAAAAGCAATAATAGGATACCTTTTATGCTTGTTGCCTGAAAAACAACACTAAGGGTGGTCGTTGTGTTATTGGAGGGAAAAGCTGAGGGTACGTTTAGTTCTCTATAACTTAGTTATCTTCTTCAAGCAATCATCTCAGTGCTTTCCAAGGAATGAATTCCAGCACCAGAATTTTAGGACTGAAGTTCTTGTTACATTTTGTCTGTTACATTAGGAAAGTTTCCAGTTAAGGGTGATTATCATGTATATAAATAAAATCATGTCATCCCAACATACAGATGTTCTAGAGGACCCCTTAGTAACACTATCCTTTTTTACAAAGCACAGTCTGTTCTGTTAAAGGGAACGTTGTTTTTGCTATTGTGTTGGTAGATTTTGGCTAATCTATTCTTTTGATTTATCCTTTTGAGTTTGGTGTGTCTTTGGAGATTTTTACGTCCCCTATGACTTGGATCCAGAACTGAGAAATGTCTGGAGACTCTACTTCTAAATTGAGGACAAAGGATTGTTTTCTATATGGAAAAGGTGCTGGTGACACTACCTCTTGTGAGCTGAGAAGAAACTATCTCAGTGCATTTGAGGGCATGTTATAAATTTCAGAGTGCTTCACAATCCAAGAATAATTTCTCTTCAGGCACATTAAGGGGGATCTTGCCCTCTTAGAAGACTTCAGTTTGCCTGACCTTTTCTTAAAAACAATACACCTGACTGACTATAGTCAGACCTTAAAGGTTCTACTTGAATGTAATTAGCCTGTAATTTTTCAGAAAACACCATTGGTCATATGCCACGAAATTGACACTTGAGAAACTTATTGATGATGTCATCTTCATGAGCTACTGCTCTCCTTTCCCTTTTTGTTTTCTTCCTGTTTCTTTCTTTTTTTTTTTTTTGAGCTTTAGGACAGCTGTTGGCCGCAGCGACTTCCTTGACTACTCTAGGAGTGCCAGATTTTGAAGTTGCTGCTGTTTAGGCAGGAAATCAAGGATAAGTGACCACAATATTCTTCCTTTCTAGGGAGAGTTGTCAAAGTTGGGGCCTCCAACCCTAAAATTTATTGTTGCCCCAAAGGATCAGTTTTACAGTCTTAGGGCTGCTTCTTTAAAGGCTTCTTGAAAGGGCAGATGCCTTTTATAAGCGCCCCCAAGTCATAAGTAATTGATAATAATTATAGGCCCTTCCTCCAGATAGTTAAACCTCTCAGCTTGAGGAGGGTAATAAATGTACTAGGTTTTTCAAAAGTTTATGTTTTCATTTTGATGGATTTGCCAGAAAAGCTGACGTGTTATTGCTGGTACTACCACTGCCTGTTGGCACCAGGATAATGACTTTAAATTCTTACTTATCTGCACTTGATACGTCCCAGTCTCAGGCTTGATCAGCCAATCACTGACTGGGATGTAAATTTACTGTGTGTTTTATAGGCCACGCCCAGCAGTGCTCTGGGGACCACAGTGGTTCCAGTCATTAAACCTGCAGCTTGCAATGCAAAGCATGTGCTCCAGATCTCTGAGTTGTCTCCCCAACCTCAGATTTACTTTTCTTTTTACGTGTAGTTTGTGTTTCTAAATCCTGAGGTTTTACCAGAATCACATTCTAGTATGAACCTCTCTTGCAACTTCACACTCCACAGTTGAATCTTGTTTTGCATTTTAAATGAAATATATTGAGTTAAAATAATAGTGCATTTTATCATAGTCATTCCTTATTAATTTGTCAAATTTTCATTAAGGCTCTACTCTATGCGGACATTGCAGAAGCTGAGGATGCAGTGATGAAAATGTTAAAAAATAATGTGACTGTACTTAAGGGATGAACAGTTCTGTTTTCTATTTAAAAATTCACTCTTACTAGTGCTGGAGCTATAGTACAACTGGTAGGACATTTGCCTTGCATGTGGCTGAACCCTGGTAGATTCTGGCATTACATATGGTCCTCTGAGTACCGCTAGGAGTAATTCCTGATTATAGAGCCAAGAGTAACCCCTGAGCATCGCCGGGTATAGGCCAAAAGCAGATAAACTAGGGACTGGAGTGATAGCATAGTGGGTAGGGCATTTGCCTTGCATGCGGACAACCCAGGTTCGATTTGCAGCATCCCATATGGTCCCCGGAGCACTGCCAAGAATAATTCCTGAGTACATGAGCCAGGTAGTAACCCCTGTGCAACATTGGGTGTGACCCAAAAAAACAAACAAAACAAAATGAAACAAACAAAAAATGTAGACAAACTAAAAATTCACCCTTATTTTCATGCTCTATCTTTAACGTAACCAAATTTATGGAGTAGCTATTATTTGTGATAACCTGGTTATAAGGAATTTGCTAATTTGAGTGGGTAAGATACCAAACTTTCAAGGAATCAAGTGGTATTTGAAGGTGGAATTACACTTTAGGGACATATAAATCATACCTAATCAAATGGACATTGACATGTAACTTACAGATATGGGCATTTGGGCCTCATTAATCATTAGGGATTTAGGATGAAATCTACTCTTTAAAATTGTAGGCCTTTCTCACCCTGCTGGGTGTAGCGCTGTTGACTCTGAGCACCACTACCATTGTTTCTGGACTAAGTAGACATTCACCGTTGAACTGTGGGTCTAACTGTTGGGAAAGGTACATTGGTAGATTGCAACTCCTTTCAAGTAATTTCACCGGTTTGAAGGAGTAAGGTAATCACCAGAACCCTGACACATGATAATTTTGCATTGTTAGGTGCAAGTGCCACCTATATTGTGCTCAGGGATTAAATGTGTTAGTGTACTTGTAAAATTAATTCAGTTAAGTACTTGTTCTGCAGGTTAAACTATTTATGGTATTGCAACGAGTAAACTTATGACATCTAAATATGTTAAATTATTACGAGCATTTTTAATCACTGTTTTAAGAATACATAGAAAAATCCATGCAACTCTGTGATTGAGAGTTTTCCAGTACTCTTTTTGAGGATCTCAGAAGAGTTCATGAGCAAAGCATTGAGTGCAGAGCCAGGGGTAAGCCCTGAGCATCATCGGATGTGGCATCAAAGCAAAAACAAAAAACAACGCAAAACAAAAAGACCTGTGATAAATGAATCTCATAAGAAAGTTTTTAAGAATGAAGCACCTAATACTTAAGTCATTGTAAATTCGTGGGTGTTAAGGTTGGAAGTATTTTATGTCCAAAGGTGAAGCAACTTATGTCATTAAAAATTGTTTCATTGTTCTTATATCTCAGTAAAAAGTTTAAAAATTATTTTTGTTTGATGAAAGAAGTTACATGAGTTACATTCATAGCTTGGAAAAATAGCTTTATATAGACAAAGGTAATAGGTAATTTGTTAGGAATAGCACTGCACTGTAGCACTGTTGTCCCATTGTTA